ATCTCAGGTGATATGCATTTCTAGCCAACAATCACAGTTAAAATGTCAGTAGAGGTGTGAATAACCTCAAATCTATTGATTGTTTATACTTTTGTTTTCTATCCTAGGAATGAGGTTATTTCAGCCTGTATTGGAATTTAAAGAATAATAGTGACATCACCCTTCCTTGCCATACACTGCGGAGCCACTGTTTGAAGTAGCATAACACAAAAATATGGCTACCAAGAGAGGTTCCTCAGAAATTAATTTGGAAAATTGTGAAGTGCCTCAGTTTTCATTGTGCTATATGCATCTATATGCCCACTCTGTCTTATATTTTGRGAGTCTCAGATTATTAGAGGCAACATTTTCTGTGACACAGAAGATGAAGTTTGCTGTGTTAGTTTGCATGTAATATGTAAAATTAGTGAGCTTTTACAATTACCTGATAACCACCACCAAATCCTCCTATCAAAATAAACAAAGACATATTACAAGCATGTACATGAGCATGTCAAGGCCTATATGTACAGTAGACCGTAATAAATGACGAGTCAGCTTGAAAAAAATTTCTATACTTTCCAGTCCTCTAAATTCCGTGTAAAATATCTAAAAGATTTTATTTCATTTATGGGATTTCAATTTAAGCGTAGCTCTATGTTTCCATACACAAATTTCGTGAAATTAAATTAACTTAAGGTGAAATGCACAGAATGTCTGACAGTTGATGCTGTACAAAAGAAATATTACACATCTGAAGCTGGAAWGCAAAATAGAACACGGAATTTTAAATCCAAAGAATTGATTTGTAGAGATTTTTAATATATCAACCATTTTAGTTTAGATTTCAACATTTCGAATCCTAGAATCGGTTCTCAAAACATCGTTATATTTACATTTCATATGAGCAAATCGACAAAAACAAGAACATACTCTAGTTCACTCTACATACCTCCGTCATTCCACATGATTATATCCTTTAGAAATGGTTTTCAAATGGTTCCAAATATAACGACTTCTGTTGWCTTGCTTTCCCGCAAAATCAAAATGGCTTCTCAATTTTTGGCGCGAAAGAATGCGCATGGTCATAGGAAAAATACTGCTGTCTAAATGCACTGTCAGCTCAGATTGGATTCTTGSTTACGCTCATTAGAGCGTTTACTCGCGTCCTGACGATTCTCGATTCCGTTGAAAATTGAGAGAGACCGCTGTTTTTTAAAAATAAATAAATCAACATTGTTTTAAGAGGGTAAACACGTGCCAGTAAAGAACTGATGAACTTGTGGCCCACTAGCTAGAGCGGATTTCTAATATGAGTGGGACACCGTTACCGCACGGTTACCGCACAGTTACCGGACCCTGGCCTGCACAATTTTGGTGAACCAATGGGGGGCACTAGAATTTGGTTACAGTACGATTACGGTCACAGTACAGTACCGTCCGTTTCCCACTCATACGAAATCCGCTCTATACTCTCACACTCACTACCTCTACATTAAGTATTTCAGTACACAACACTCCTCACATGTTGATTATTGCTGAGGGAGGAAAACCGGAGGACCCGGAGAAAAACCCTGGTGGCAAGGGAGAGAACAACACATCAAACAAACTCAAACTCACATATGGTCCGTGCCCGGGAATCGAAYCCGGACCACAGCGGTGAGAGGCCAGCAGCTTAACCACTAGGCCACCCATATAGTTATCAATTGCGCAAAGGTAGGTTTCTTTTGCTCTTGGGGATGTCATTGTCAACTAAAACAGCGATCACTCATTTCTAATGACAATCGACAGTTTACCATTCGCAGCAAATTCGCAGTAGCGATTATCGACATACAAATTGTCAATTCACTTTTGCCCGACGATACAAAGACGTAAGGCTTATGTCCCCTTGTCCAAGAATCACTAAGAATGTACGACATCAAGAACACGAGACGAGATAAAAGTCACTCCATATTATTTATTAACAATTTGCCGGCTTCTAGCGTCAATTTATATGATAAGCCTAGGAAATGTTGATATTCCTGTCATTCAAATATATAGGTATATCACAAGAGAACTATTCTAGAAATCGAAGACACAGTATACTCTGAAAATGGTACAAAAAGCACAGCTGAATTTTACTGCATTTATAATTCGTAACACTGTTAACATCTCAAACTCCCTGCCGGTACAAACACAGTGAAAGCCCAACCATTTATTATCAAAACATTTAAGTCAATTTTATCGCTAGTCATAATAACTACGATTAATTTCATTTGCTAGCTTTTACACCAGAAAAATCAAGTGAGGATCATTTTATGAAAGCAGATGTATAAACTAGGTGAATGGGATGCATACATCTGTCAAGAGCATAGGGAAAAAAATACAAGACAGAGATTTAAATCCCTCACGAGTGTTTAGYACGAAGTATTTGATGTTGATTCGTTTCAAATCTAGAACCTCTCGTCCACAATTCAAGGTTATGGAGGTTTAGATTCAGGATTACGGCGAAAACCAAACGTCAAATTGGCTTTTAAGACTTGTTTTAAAAATTTCAAAAAAACGCAACGCAAACGTAAAAACACTTCGAAACGGGAAAAGTGATTCGCTCATGCATGAGAAAAACCATCGAATTTATATCGAAACACAAAAGAAAAGAGCGTTTGACGTTCGCATTAAACGTGAATCTAAAARAGCCCAGGGGAAATCGTCTGTCGCTCGTTCCTATCTCCATGGGCGATAATCTGTCCCTCACTTCTCTGAATAGAGGAAAGCGCATCCCAGCCTAGTGGCAACAATCCATGTACATTTTCGGTCGCAACAAATACAAAGCGATTTATCTAAAGCCCCACTTGCATCCGAGAACCCTTGCAATCATTGGTTTTCTTTTCAAAGATAAGTTGCATGAAGTTGCTTTATGATTGGTACAAAATAAAAATGTAGATTTTTCGTACGTGAGAAAATCGCGCAAAGGTTCACGGATACACGTGGATCTTTAAATATATTTTCAAAAAGGCTAAACGGAGATATTCGGCAATTCTTAGTGGACCGTCAGTTATCGTGGGTATTGATTAGCAATATTTATACCTATCAAACAGTCGGTAATATTGTAAAATCATCTCTGATGATGTTCTGCTTGGTTTCTCAAATGACTATTGTTCGTCTATTAATCTCCGGTACATGAGCCTTTTTCACATTCAAATAAATAAAGGTTGTAAGGATCTAAATYACGGACAGAATGAAAGGGTACGTAGAACGTTCCATGATCGAACGATATTCTGACTGAAAGTGTAAGACTGGAGATGAAATCATGTTCTAGTTATTTCACACGCACCCYTTCGAWCGTCACATAGAATTTAGAACCCGTTAGCGTTAATMTGATTGAGTTTATATAGATATGAATACATGAGTTCAATCTGTAGCCATGGATTCTTCTTGCTCTGTTGCTGTTTCACAACTGTCTGTAGCTTCCTGCTGTTCCTCAAGTGCTTGCATCTGAATATCTTCATCACCGGTCTCTCTCTCTGTTCCTGYCTGAAGTGCCTGTATTGCCTGTGTGGTTACAGTAGGGGTCGATTGACTGCCTTGGTCTGTCGCYGTTGTCATAACCATGGTGGTTTGTCCCTGTGACTGTACAGCAGCCATTGCCGCTAGTATCTCCGCAGATACCGTCATACTTACTGTTTCCATGCCTTCACTGGTCACCCCTTCCTGCGTYCCCTGGGGGATATGCATAATGGTTACTTGTCCGGAGTCGATGGCCCCTTGAGAAAGAGCGTCCRCGACAAGCTGAGCATGTGTTTCACTWTCCTGACCTGGATGAGCAGAGGTAGCTACTTCGATGATTTGATTGGTTATCCCTTGACCACCAAGCTGATTGTTGGCATTGACAGCTGATTGGACAAGCACTTCAGCTACGTCACTGTCAGAAATCCCAGCATTCACTGCAGCCTGTGTGACAGCGTCTACGACGTGATGGCCTGTTGATACATTGACTGTCGCAACCTGGTAAAACATATCGATTACTGTTGTTAAAGAGGTGGAACTAAACTGGACCTTGTTTTTAAAACTAAGGTTTTAAAGGTGTCGTTTCACTCCAAAACCTTTATTAGAAACTTGTATACGAAGATTCAAATTAACTATAATGCACTCCTGAAAAATACGGTGGGAGCTAACGGTAAACTAGTGTGAGCTGCGTCGGTGTTTCTAAAGAAACAGTTGTGTAAAAAGATAAATTTAACACCATAAAAAAAGTATGTGAAATAACTTACTGACGTTTCGGACGTTAATCCTTCGTCGGAGTAAAAGTGATGAAAATAGGTAAAGGGTGAGTTTATATAAACTCTTCCTTTACCTAGCTTCATCACTTTTACTCCGACGAAGGATTAACGTCCTGAAAAAAACGTTTGTGTTTTACCTGTTCCTCATTATCTTGACCAGACGTCTCCACGGCAACCACATGGGCTGTTTCCATGGCATCCTCAGGGCCAATCATGGACTCGCTGACTGCAACCAGTGCCTCAGCAAGCTGAACCTCGGCATCTGTACCAATATGACTGACATTCACAGTGCTGATGTGTTCTTCTGATAGAGCATGTTGGCTTTCAATRTTTTCTTCTTCTTCCTCGCTGGACTTCTTCATTCTTGGAGTACGCGTCGTGCCTCCGGTTTTAGAATGAACCTACAATATGAAGAGGGAAGTAGATGTAAAGTAGGGTAACGKTAATATATGAATAAACCGTCTACCCGCTCATGATGAGCTCTTAGCCCAATGAGGGTTGGGTCAAATGACCTTTTAAGCTGAATCCCAATAAAACACGCACTCAATTTTTATAAACACCATWTAACGAGCTTCTTTGAGCTGACAAAACTCACTTTATCCAATGCCACCAAGAATATTAAGCCATGATTACAAGTTTACACAACAATAGTTCAATATGGATATTTTGGTCGAATCTACAAAAAACTGCGTACAAATTGAGAGGAAAAAAGATTTTTCTATTATTTCCCCGAAGCCTCGTCTTTAATTTTTTTGTGCGTGGTAAATCAACCAAAATATCAAGAGAGGCCTATTGAACCCTTACCTTCATATGATATCGTAAGCTGGCTTTACGTGAGAAATCTTTGTCGCACGTTTCGCATTTGAATGGCTTCTCCCCGGTGTGAATACGCAAGTGATTGTTGAAGTGACTGCGGTGGTTAAACTCTCGACCACATTCCTCGCACTTGAAAGGGCGTTCACCTGAAATCACGTGACAATTAAATCAGTCCATCCAACAGATACAAGTGATTCGAGTCGTTAAACCCCACCTGCGAATAAAAAAACCCTAAGAGCAAGGAAAAGAACCACTCTACAAACCCAAATCACATGGTTTCAATTCGAGTTATAAAAAGGTCCGTCCATCCTATAAATTGTATTAGAACCAAGTTTTCGCGCAAAAACCCTTTAGCATGGAATAGGTCGCATACAAGACCACCCCCTATACTAACAATACCTGTGTGTGTTCTGATGTGCTCCTTTAGAGTGCTGAACCTGGTGAACATCTTGTCACACTCGCCACATTTGTACGGTTTGTCATCACTGTGGACCGGCATGTGAACCTTGAGGTCGGTAGATCGTGCAAAGCGACGACCACACTCGTGGCATTCGTATGGCTTTTGACCTGCAACACAGTAAGATTAATTTTATGTCAACCCTGTAACACTGCATATATATTTCTTTTGGAGGCCCCCTGATAAATAATATAGAAATAAAGGAAAGTTATAGTGTTAAGAAGGAGGTTACTCCTGGAGAAAGACCCTTGGAAATAAACGAAAAATTTAATTTCCGACCTCGCTTGGATTCGAACCCACGACCCTCTGGCCTAGGATTTGTACTACTGTTACAATAGTGATGCTYTGACAGCTTAGTTACAAGGTCAGACTGGGACAGGGTCGGGGTGAATTAACCTTCTAAGCACTACAACTTTCCTTTATTTCTATATCATGTGTCTCATAGTCCGGTCCTCATATCCATATCTTTAACCGCTGTTAAATATCTGGATACGTATATGTTATGTTATAAAATTAAGCACCAGGTTCAATGCCGTCACATTGTAGGCCATGGAACGTAAGAAACAATTATATTCAAGACAAGATTCYATTAGCTGWTTTAAATAAACCTCACCTGAATGAACGATGCTATGKCGCTTGAAGGTAATGGCAGAGATAAAATCCTTGTCACACATGTCGCATTTGAAAGGTTTAATTCCTGTATGWCGACCCATGTGGGACTGCAGTTCTACCATGGTACGAAATGTCTTYTCACATTGTTCACACTTGAAYGGTTTATCGCCAGTATGTACTGCCTGACAGCAAAAACATATTATACGTCATTATAAAATATCTTCCAAAAAACATACGCGCAAAAGAATAGCTAAGTTGTATGGACAAAGGCCAAAGCTGAAAACTGAACAATGATTGTTTTTATAAAAGCATGACATGTGTGTGTGCAATGAAAAAGCTTCTTGTATATCATTCATTTCTGTTATCAGCTCAATGCGATACAAAGAGTTTTTCCTCTGTTTGGTTTCTAAATGCTTTCTCTCATGCAATGTCAGCTTTTCAAATTCTTTCTGAATACTTCAGTGATGATGTCAATACTTGAATGTCTCCTTTGCAGCATTTTCTTGGCAAAGCAAGTCTGACACAATGACAGGCTGCAAAGTAGGTCTCTGTAGAATTAATATAGCAATGAATAGCAATTTCAATTTACCTGATGTGATTTGAGTCCAGTCTGTATAGCAAATGCTTTACCACAGACATCACACTCATAAGGTTTTTCTCCTGTGTGTGTTCTCATGTGGTCTCTAAGCCTAGCGGGCCGTGTGAACTGCTTGGGACAAATCTCACACTTGTATGGCTTATCACCACTGTGAGTAAACTTATGTTTGACRAGATCAAATGACTGGATACAGGCGAAGTCACACTGATCACACTTGAATGGCTTTTCTCCTGAATAACACAATAATATATCTCCAATTATTATCAATGCCAATATCAAATCCAAACAGTTTTTGGAAAAAATGTATCATCATCATTGTCATGAACATCATCATACTGACCTGTATGTATGCGGTAGTGACGTTTCAGGTCATCATATCTAATAAATGCCTTTTCACACTGATCACATTTGTGTGGTTTTTCTCCCGTGTGACGRAATGCATGCCTGGAGAGCTCTGCTGCTGTCTTGAACGCCTTGTCGCATCCTTCATAGTTACAAACATGAGGTTTTTCTTCCTGATGAACACGTCGGTGAACCCTAAACAAACAGTACAGTCGCTAATATTAGATGTAAGATGTCTGAAAATCCAGTTCAAATTCTAAATCGTGTTTTGATAAGCCTGCATGGTATCAAAGCCTACATCCCACCAACAAAGAATGATGGTGATTATTTTCAGGAATAATCTTTGATGAGCATTTCTCATACCTCAAGGATCCCGGATTGTTGAATGCCTTTCCACAGTTCTCATGGTCACAGACAAAAGGCCTGTCCTCAGAATGAGACAGTACATGGGAACGTAGTGAACTTGGGTTATTGAATGCTTTGTCGCAGTATTCACATTCATAAGGCTTTTCTCCTGGAAAAATAAAATGACAGATGCCATTATTTTATGATAGTGTCTAGCAATAAAAAAATTAGAACTTTGACAAAATTAAATATTTCTGAGATAATAAATGTGTGGCTGTGGTAAATCAACAATTCACTGTTACAGCAGACATTAATGTTTATCTTGATTTTTATCACAGTCATCACTACATCATCATTGCTGTCAATCACTGTCATTATCATCTGCTTGCAGTCATACGTTTGTCACCAAAAAATATAAATTGTACATAATATAATAAAAATAAATTATATAAAATTATATAAAAATCATCATAATTGTTATGTTCATTGTAATTACTCTTATCATAGCCATCTACATTTTTTGAAAATTGTCCAGAAATTACATTTGTTCATAGAGAAGTTCTCTGGTTTATTCCTCCAAAATTTACCTGTATGTATAAGCATATGCTGCCGTAGGTTACTGGCATAGTTGAATACTTTGCCACAAACTTCACATTTATGTTGTTTTTCACCAGATGCATGTTCTCTCATATGTCCATAGTATGACCAGGAACGAATGTAGGACTTGCCACAGATATCACATGTATACTTAGGTTTATTTTCATCTGGAATTGATAAAATAAAAGACATTTCAGCATTTTTATCTTGACGTTGTTGCAAAAGATGTTACTGTAATATCAGCCTTCTTGTCAATTGCTGGAAAATAGACTATAGGACTCCATGCTCTGTTAATGGTGTATCACTCATCCTACCMCTCGCATAAACTAGCCAGCTACCCATAACTACTACCTTTACCTAGCTCAGATATTTACTGACAGAGGTAAACACATAGAGTACAGCTGACAAAAATCACCCTTGGCAAGGTAGTAACCCATAAACTTATAACCCAACGATACATGTTGAGCTGCTAAATATCATTTGTATTTATACATCCTTGTCAAGCTACTACTGAGATAGCGACATCTACTCTCTAAAGATAAAGTGACAAACAGTTTTGTGCATACCATTGGCATCTCCTTCCTCCTCTGCTAGTTCTGCTTCAGTAGGATGACTACCACCTTCMACAACCTCTGTAAGGTCTGTAGTGGGTACAGTAGAAAGACCAGCTTGTCCTGCAGCCTCCCCTGCTGCTGCTGCAGCAATAATTGCCTCRGTATTGGTGGTGATTAAAGATGTTACTGCTGTTGTCATATCTGAGTTTCCTGAAGTTACCGATGARAGCTGAGAGATGGGTACTTGTATGGTCTGTCCATTTGGTAGTGTGATGGTGTGTGAGGCCACACCTGATTGGCTAGTAGATGTCGCTATCTATAATAAATATTTTTTGTATATAATTATAAAGTTTGCTATCAAGAATAAAAATAACTGATCTGCTAAAAATGCTGTCAGTATATAATATGTTGAGCAATGAACAAGCTTGTGATAGTRCTTTTTGTCTTACCTGGAGAGCTGCTAATGGTACCTGGCCCAAGGTAGCTTGTAAAGTTGACAGAGTACTGGCATCAGCACCTGATACAATGGGTATAAACTGTTGTGGAGTCTGTTGCTGTAGATACTGAATATCACCTGATGCTGACTGTGACAACACTTGGACTGCAATCATCTCAGCTTGCATTGTAGATAGAGTAGCTTGATCAACAACATGGGATATCACTGATGAYGTTGTCACCTCAGGATTTGTTTCTGGGAATTAAATCATTATTTTAGTATAATATTCAACTGAGSTCAAGTATCACTTTAAGTATTGGGAGCTTATACTGGCAACTATTTGATGATTTATCGATAATGTCAAGCAACAATACTTCAATGAAAGACATAAAGAAATTAAGTTACCCTGTTCAATAACAACTCCTTCCTGGACGACYTGCTCTTCACTGGCAGGTATCTCAGTACCATTTCCAGCCTCTACCACCTCAACATAAACAGCAGGATGGTCGACATGGGAAGAGTCCATGTTTGCACCRGGTTGTATGGCAACATACAATGTCTGGTCATGGTTATCACCATTGTCCTGAGCTGCTGCTKGTTCAGAGTTGGTTTGAGYTGGAGTAGAAGCAGCTTCTGTTTCTTCTTGTTTACTTTCCTCTACAGTTTCCTGATTGAAAAGGATTCAATTTYAATTATTTTTGAAAAATAATGTTAAGGAAATATTTAGTGAAACAAGACAGKGGACACTTGGTACACACTTGTGTTCAAAAGATAACAGGTACAGCAAATTACTTGTAAAAGGACAGTCATGTGAATGAGAGGGGCACAAAAAATGAGATAAGAACTGAATAAAATAATGAAGGGATGAAATTGCCAACCTGCTTATTATCATCATCACTCTTTGCCTTTTCTTCTGGTTCAGCTACTTTCTCAGATTGCTCAGTTGTTTCAACTGTAAAATATTGAGCAATAAGTTGTTTGCATACATATCAATATAATAATACTAGTAGTTTTTGATAAAAATGGTGTACTATGAGTTAGAAAAACATTATTTTTGAGTGATATTTAGAATAGTCAATAGAGTCAGATTACATTATAACTACAAAAATATCCAAAATAACATATCGTCTTATTTCACCATTTGTTTGTTAGTTCATGTGAGAATGGAAGTTGGATCAAGTTAGATTGGTTTGGCAAACTGAAATGCATRATTGACATTTGTCATCATCATTCAACAACTCTATGGTGAGGAMTTTAATCTAAGATCATATGTATCCATAGTATGGTGTATGGACTTAAACCTCTAAACCTACAGATCATGTGCTTTGTGACATCCCTGAATTGACTTTCGATAAACAATGGAATTCAACCCCTGCTGACATTTCTATGTGCAGGGCTTAAAATTATAATAAATGATCAGTGAAAATTTGCTATTAAGAAAACAAATCTAAAATTCATGTTACAATTATGATGATTTCTAAAAAAATGCCCTGAAGAGCTATAGTTTCTTAAAATTTTGGTAATATAAAAATAAATGTCAAGGCTTATGTTCAAAAAATTGCAAAAAAAAAATTAATTCAATTGATCTTTCAGTCTGAAATAATCCATCTWATTTCCATTCTGTATACAATGCACTAGTCAGTAGAATGCCCGCACCTAACTACCCAGGAAATAGATGGGCGCCAATGTTTACGTTTTAGCTAATTTGCATAAAAGTCAGAAATCGAATTTGACGAATTTCAAGACACAATAAAATCAAGCCCATAAATGAAAAGAACTCATACCTGTTAACAATTCCTGCAAATTTGAAGGCAATTGGTTAAAGATTTCAAGAGATATCAAGCGCCAAATATGCAAGATTTTTTAAAGAAATGACCGTGGTTGGCATWATTTTGCCAAATGTAAAAAGGCGTTTGCCCTAAAATGTTCAGGTTTTGTTTACATTAATATGATCTTGAATTATATAAGTTCAGATTGCTTATTTTTTGAATTTTATATTTTGGTGCGCCCACCTATAAGCAGGACTTAGTTAGGCAATTAATAGACAGCTTTAGACCATCAAAATTGATGGTTTGCGCTATGCAGGGCTTTAGCCTCGATAAGGGATAAGGGATATATTTTGAACAACACCCAGGAAGACGGGGCATATGATTTGAGCTTCCTTTGGTTTTTCTTTAGTATAAGAAAAACAGTTCTTTGCTTCATTTTTTTGCTTCCATTTTATTCTGGGGGATGAAAAAAGATTAAAGAGTTAAAAAACTGCTGTTCTTCCACTTTAAAATTCAGATGTATGACTGGATAGATTTGTTACAATTATGTCACTGCATCTTTGAGATATAAAGATCGCAAAACCCACAAAAATCAATATTGCCCTGGAGGTCGGGGAACAATAGAGGGGATTTGACTCTCTGAATTGCCTCCTCACAGGGTATACCGGTGCTTTAGTACAATATTAGACATTCCATCAAGTCAAATGCCCTGCTATTCCCTGGGTAGTTGGGTGTGTGGCTTTCTACTGACTAGTCCAATCTTTGTTCAGACTTGTATGATTTGAATGATGATTCACAGCATTTATATATTATTTCACTSTAGTTTAAAATGCAATTTTCTGTCCAATCTATTGACCTATCTTTCATACAGCAGACAGAAAACCAAGAACATTTTGATAAATTCAAAATATCAACACATATTTTTTTTTAATTTCAATTTACCACTTGAACCAAAAAATAATAATAGAAATTTGATCAAAACGTTGTGATTTTCTAGCTTTTGCCTCAAGCTTATCGAGGTGCGGTAAAGGACTAGATATGTTTCAACATGGCCGTCGAACAGAGAACACAACCCTATCTTTCTTCCTCACAATGAAAACAAGTCGAGGACATGAATAAACTGATATATAAAGAAAAATAATATCGATGGCAAAGAACACGAGCTTTCAATGAGAAATATTTTGTAAAATCACCATGTTAGAGTGAAATCATCGAGTTTTTAAGTAAAGCTTTTTATATTCGCTCGAGTGCTCAAAACCGCGTTCCTTCMTAAGCCATGAAACACTTCGAGCCAACGCAAAACAGAAATTCWGGATAAAAAGGTCACTACRGATAAAAACAGAAACATCTAGCAAYCTTACATTAAATTCTGAACATATAAATATTTCAAGACATAAAGCTTAATCCGTTTCTCATAAGGGCTTCCCTTTAAAAACGAAGGACTAAAGATRTGTGAGAAATCGACAACAAGATTGAGATCGACTTCAAAATGGCGCCCATTGCTCCATCGTTTAGAGATAGAAAAAACGAAGATAGAGCATCTAAAAAGGTCATCTAAGTGGATTATTAAATGTTGTGAGATCAGCCCACAGTAGTAGGTTGCGAATTTCAGCGGCTAATAACATTTCTATAAGAGTAGCGACAACAAGGGAAGAAGTTTGCAGGGTCAGCGGAGAACACATAAACTCACCGCTGACCTCGCTACACTCGAAAAACTTGCTTGGAGATCATCAACTCTTCAAAAATGAGCTTAAAATTATACTGTTCATCTATCGTAAGTACATTTTTAACAAGATATCAGTGGCTTTCGATAGAAATCTTGTGGAACAGGGGCGTCTTTCTTTTGTTTGGCTGTTTCGACGGCATGGTCTTGGCGTGTGTATTTTGCAAGGCTGATTTCAAGTCAAATATAACCAACTCAAAACTAAAAACTTCAGGATTTCACCCTGTCTTAAATTCGATAAACTTCAAGGCATTATTTTTACGTTTTCCAATGGTTTTAACTGGAAATGTTCAAACTGAATTAGCTTACCTGAAGAGTTGATTTCTGTGGTGGCCATATTCTGCACGAAACTACCCAGAATGCATTGCAAAGTAACTGAAAAGCGCGCCCTTTTCACTGTAATTTGAATATTTCCAAAATTACGATTCATAAAAGTGACATTCTTCTTTAAAATTGCACTTCGACGTTGACTTATTTTTGAGTCGTTTTTCAAATGCAAATAATGTATATTAAAAAAACATTCTTTAGTCTACAAAGTTTTAATTTGGACTGTTGGACGAGAGGGAAAGGAGGGCACCARTTGCATGCAGCTAGGGCACTGGGCCTCCCACAAAACATAAAATGCATTTGCAAAAGTTCATGTGACGTCATCACTATAAGTCTATGATTGTGCCCCCCCCCCTCCCCTCCCCCAATGAAACTTTGGATCCGCCGCCCCCTGGATAACCATTGTTGCCCTTCATGGCTACTCAATACACAGGGCTGTCAACCCCAAGGAAATTTCATACCTTGAAATCCATGATTCCATAATTTTGGTTAYATTTTGCAGATTCCATAATTTCATTTATATTTTGCAGACTGCTGAACCAAAAATGGTCTGCAATCACCACAATATTTTAAATATCAGGTCTCAATTTTTGTAAATATTCTTAAAAAGCTTAAGCTAGTTKCTATAATCTCAAAAAAAGGAAATTTTGACTTGCAATCTTGAGACTGGGAGATATGATCAAAAATCTTGACACTCATGGGTTGTCTGGGAGAGTTGACAGCCTTGTGTAATCCTATAACTGGAATCTCAAATTGCTTGAAATTTGATTACATTAGTTTTCAAAGTTAAGAGGACTTGAGAGATTCATTCTTTCTGTACCATAGTATTGCAACATTGCATATTTTCATCTTTCCCATTCCTCCAATATTGTGGTCCCTAGTCTTATATTAATTTTTTAAACAAACAACAAACAAACAATAATAATATAATAATTTCAGCATGCATGATATCATCTACATTCCTTTTTCCTCTCCCCAATCCCCYATGCTCAGGATATATCCTAAAAGGTGTCTATTCACTTCTAGGTTGTTCTCATTGAAACTTCCTATAACATTGAAATGCTCTTCAAAAAGTCACTACTGCATTATCAGCTGATCAACATGCAATTATGTTTCAAAGAAAACTAAAAGTAAGTACTATAAAAAAACTTTGTGCTACCCTTATATGGATCATCTACCAGTAACTTAAAGAAAATGGAAGCTATCATGTCACATGACTCGACTCAAATAAACTGTCTTTCATTTATGCTGTTTCTTGTACCTTGATAATTATTTTATTCTTTGTAGCAATATTTTACATGTAGATTAATTTAGTTTTGTGCTAATGAGACTGCAAAGATTTAATATGAATGATTCTCGAAGTTATAGAACCAATTTATCAGCCAATCACAGGATGGATATCTAGATTTCTAAACATTGATGACATAAAATGTAGTTTGATTTTAAACATGTAACACTATAAAATTTTGTCCATCTTGTATCTGTAGGTTTTTTGATATGGTGGTCGATTTTTATTATGTCAACAACACTTGATTTTAAACCCACTGTTTTTTGTCCACTGGGCAGGTCCACTAACATAAGCAATGTGTGCCTTTAAAAAACTCTTACAACTCTGAATCAAATTGTGCATACTATTCATGAGCTATTAGTCAAATGAGCATCAAACTATTGGGTCACATGATGGGCCTTTATATTCCGATAAAGCACAATGTTTTATTAATCAGTTCTATATCAGATATAAAGAACTGATGTTCAAGGTCATCAGCGCTTTATCGCAACCCAACACTAGCAATGGTCTCAGTTTTAATGTTGCATCATAGACCTTTGCTAGGTTTTAAATCAGTTTGAATCAATGTGCAGACATGCAGTATAGCATAGACTAGCCGTTCTTACATGTGGGATCAAAATTCTTTCAATTGTGGCAAATGCTAGTCTCCTTCGCAGCCTACCCTTTTGTCGGGCTTCCTGTTCTTTTGGGAGGGACAGGAAGCCCGACAAAAGGGTAGGCTGCGAAGGAGACTAGGCAAATGTACATGCTCAGTAGAAGTTTAATATGCATTATCGCTGTTTTCACATTTTTTAGCTTTTTTTCTAAAATGATAACGATTTTTGGATGTTAAAGTTCTAGAAGTAGTTTCGGCTCGGATCTTTATCACCCGATAAAACACACTCTTTCGTTCTTTATACACTACATATTATATAAGGTGAATGGATGAACACTACAGATTGTATTGACTTTGTACAAACCTTTTTCATTATCCATTGCTATGGTTTTTTATTTGATTTCATATAATCCATGAGAACTTGCAAAAATACACATTTCTACATGTTTTACATCAGTGAGATTATATAACTGGCTTTTTTAAGTGTTAAAAATAAATACTTCTTAACTTATATAATATTATTTACAAGTCAGATTGACTGAGGTTTTATGTATTTTTTGGAAAATGTAAAATAAATGCATTCTATTCTCACTATATGACGTGGACCTCAATTTATGTAAATGAAAAATAAATACTGCTTTGCGGAATTATGTACCATATTGTCATCAGTTCTGAAGACGCAAGATGTGTCGTAAAGTTTAATTATTCTTATCAGCGTCTATATGTTCATTTCGGATATGTAGCTGAGTATGAATTCCGTTGCCAAATCCTTGATTTGCGCGTGTGCTGTCGGATTCAGCGGAATTGATTTTCGCTAGCTTGTTCTTGAGTTTATCAATGTCTTCAGATAGGATTTTAACAGTTTCTCCTAAATCCTTTAACATGATGGACTGTAAATAGACGACATCTGCAAGGCAATCAAACGAAAATGTCAATATTATGCGAACAATATATATATGTTATTTACTGGCTGGGAGGGCCCGAGGTCTTGACAGTACGGAACGAGCGCTGCGAGGGCAGTGTTTTCCTATACGTGCCGACCTATAGCCGGTAAATAACAATTTTATTTTTTTTATKTGTATTTTATGCAACTTTGCTCGCAGCCTAGCTACAGGATACCGTGKACCGGGCAGATGCTTGATGCCGGACGCAGGACGGGCGCGTGTCGTTTGGAGACTGGGAACTACTTTAAAAACAAACCTTCTGGCGGGAAAGATTTCCGTCGCTTTGGTGAAATCCATCGACGGTACAATAGCTGATACGTTGAACCAGTCATTAATAAAAACAAGAATATGCCACATAAAGTTGCCACTATTGTTGTGGTCGATGTGCCAGAGAAAATCCCTTTGGAGTTTTCATCGACGTAGAATTCCTAGAAAAACAAACGACTCTGTTTCTGGAATAATAGACATTGATGTGATATGTTGGTCGATAGAAAAAAGATGCACTCGCCTTAGTTAAAAGGTTCTAACRTCCTTTCGTTTTTATAAACGCTTTTATTTTTCAAAAAAGTTACTTTCTGAGAAAGTTGTCTCTCAGAACATCTCCGATGAGTTTGGCTCGTCGGTTGCCATTTTACGTTTAGCTACAGATATGASATGCAATGCTCACATAGAAGGATAGAGAGATGATTTATGTCTGAATGAAGGAATTGGTGGATTTGAAGAGCGGATATGTTGATTTGGATAAAATAGTGGGAAGGGCAATGAAGATGCATTCATGGATTTTAATGTATGCATGCGTAATTTCCTGTGGCGATAACCTTACCTTAACAGGTTTAACGTAAAAACCAACATATTTTTGTGTCAGTCTCTCATGCCTTCGTATTCTCGTAGTGAAACATTGATTTGTAGCCAGAGCATCATTCCGGCCAACCACACGTGCCATCTTGTAATRAATCTCATTATCCATATTCTCAAGGACTCGTATAGTGTCTTCTTTCCATTGGGACAAAAGATATGAAGCCTCGTAACGATCAATCAAAAGACCATCCAGTAGATCTTCATTCAGATGATCATGCATAGCCTCGAAGGTTTCGTATTCTGATAAACAATTTAATTCAATTGAGGTCAGAATTACATACCTTATTCTTCTGCTGTGCTCTTATATTTTACGCCGGAACAAAATTGTACAAGTTTTTGAGTGGCAGAATTCGCAGTAATAATTATAATGTACCTGTTACAATGGCGCCTTTTCTTGTCCCAATACTCCCAGCCTCAGAATACTTCAGCACTCCAATCTTGAAAAGAGATTTAAAGACGTTTTAAAACTGGTAGTACAGTTGTTACTATGGAGACTGCACTTTTAAGTACTTTGTGGCATAGTGGTTAGTATATTCCAGCAAGCACCACAAGAAAGAAGGTCATATACTCGGAAATGCGGCAATTTAAAGAAGAACAATATGGTTCACGACAAATTGATATTTACTCGTTTTCCWTGGATTCCTGATTTGTAAAACGTTCTCCCAGCATGWAGTGCGTTAGTAGTCGAAGCTGTGAACATGGCGATGATTGCAACTCCAACAAGGATCCACAAAACACCAAACAAACGACCACAATACGACTTTGGAGTCTTGTCACCATACCTGGACATTTACAAGGGAATCGGTTTAAAACCTAATCTTTATACTAATTTTCTTATTATTCTAATTTTTATAACGATGAAATATCAGGCGTTTTCTCTAATGCTGGAAACGTTTATCGTATCAGCTGCATTACAGCGGAACATTAAACAACCATTCAGATATTTCACACCGACCTGCTCCAGTCTGACCTTGTAGCTCAGCTTGTAGAGCATCGGTAGTACAAATCCGAGGGTCGTGGGTTCGAATCTAAGCGAGGTCGGAAATTAATTTTTCCGAGTTTATTTCCAAGAGTCTTTCTCCCGGAATAACCTCCTTCTAAGCACTATAACTTTCCTTTATTTCTATATCATGTATCTCATAGTGGCATGTGGTCTTTACATTCATAAATTTTCTATATCAGTTCAATTAATAGCAACAGTAAACCGATCAACAATGATTGCATAAACCGAGGTATATCACTCACCCGACAGTTGTCATAGTAACAAATGCCCACCAAAACCCTTCGTAAGAACCACTGAAAAAATTCTTAGGGAATTGCGATCGATTGCCTTTATATTCCTGTGAATGGAAAGCAAGTGGTTGTAAACATTTTGTTTCGCCTTTTTTCTTAACTTTTTGATTACTCAGTGCTAACTGCAAGCCGTAAGCTTTTAATATTTTGTAAAAGCGTTCTGTAAGAGCTGTCTTGCCATTTTCAGAATCAATAAAATGAACGCAAGGACTTGGAAATAGTAGTTCTCTAGTTCACCGCATTAACGCATTTACAGTTATGGGAATTTATRAGAAAGGCTAAGATTACACATGAAGGATTTCAGCCTGCTTTTTTACTGATCTGCTGCTGTGTATTTGTTTAGCTTTTTTTTCTTTGTACGTGCCAATTTACGAAAAATGAATAAATGAATGCACGGATCAATGAGTGAAATATTAATAAAGGAATTTGTAAGAATCTCCATTTGGCACGATAATACTGTCTAGAATTTTTGTAAGAAAAAAAATGAAGGTGMTTTGACAAAGGGAGGGTTGCATTGATAYTGTGAAAAGACGAGCTACGGGTGGGAAACATGACGGAATTCATTGGAAGATAAAACGTAGAACAAATGAGATTTGAAATAAGGTAACACAAGATTTGTACATAATGGCGATGTCAAAAAACTATATACTATATAACTATATATATATATACTATATAACTACAGCAATATGCAGAAATTATGACTTTTTGACTCATATTTCAAGTATATATCAAATATATCAGAAATTATGGGGTATCATCGCCAATATTTTTTTCAGAAAGTACTAGTGCTAGGCAACTTAAAAAAAATATTGGCGATGATATCCCATAATTTCTGATATGTTTTAGATATACTTGGAATATGATTCAAAATGATCATAATTTCTGCATATTGCTGTATATACGGATATACTACGTCAGTAAATAATTGATGAGAATACTTTTGTGTTATGTATAAGTCTAGCAGGTAGATTTGAACTAAACGAGCTATACCCAACGCATATTTATACACAAAAAAAGAAAAGACCACGTAAATATTTATCTAATAAGCAGACCGTGTGTGTTTTCATACAAACTGTAAGGACAGGATGAAAGAGAAGTACCGAAACAAAACAACTTGATTTSAKRAWAAMARAKAWRWGKGRARRMYTKMAMMA